GAGAAAATAGAAATATGAGTTCTAAAATAGGGCAAAGCTCAGACGCCTCCCTCTTTGGTAACTTTGCCGCCAATGAATGCGAAAACGATTGATGCAATTAGCTCTTAAGATTGTTGGCGGCAGCACCAAAATTCTCCAAAATCCAACAGATCTTCCACCTCCTCTACAATGCAAGGCAAAACCTGTTGACAGCAACGCTTGCAGAGAAACGGTAAATCCAAGTCGTGTCTTACAGACACTGTCCTTAAGAGCTAATCTGCAACTACCGGCAAAGTAAGAAGCGGCACTCCCCAAGATTAAACGGATTCTTCCTATAAGAATAGGGTGAGCAGGACAGCGAAAGATAAAAGAACTCAGCAAGGCAAAACACTAGAGGAGGGAAGAAAGTTGCCTGAAAGCTCAAAGCTTGGTCGTTGTGAACTTTAGTCTCATGCCCCATTTATAGGTTGCGGATCACAAGGGAGCATTGGGTACTTAAACACAATTAAGTTTCGGTTTCAATATCATTAACTCACTTAATGAGGATTTAGTATTATTAAAGACGTCAATTACAAATATTGAAGAGGTATAATGGTGATTAAGGAGGTGAATTAATTAGACAGATATTTTTCATAAAAAGTGCCCAGTACCGCGTTTGACTCATGCATAGGGGGTGAGGAGAAATTGTCGGATTTGTCTCCGGTGGCCCATTGTGCGTACGAGCCCACTCCTTCTCTTGGCACCTTTAGCAGCCCAAGACCTCTTATTACTTGGACCCTCACAATCTCAAGCGATGTAGAACTCTTCCTTTGACACACCCACACACAATATTTACAACAGAAGACTCTAAAAAAGAGGGGTGAAAGTGTCGAAAATGTGAAAGCAAAAGGGGGGGTGTGAAGATGTGGAAAAAGGGTGTTTGTGTGTGTGTGTGTGTGTGTGTGAGAGAGAGAGAGAGAGAGAGAGAGAGAACCGACTAATAATGTGCATGATAATGATGTTAGTAGTATTGATGCATCGATGCGAGAGTTTTCTGTTGAAGGCTTTCTACTTCATGTGTTGAAAAACCCGGTCCCCATCTCTTCAAGCGGAGGCAAATTAATTGCATTTATTGCCCACTCAATTATCTGATTTCATATACACACAAATAAAGATAACAGGGCTATTATTGGTTCCGGCATTATATTTTGCTTGTGTACTCAATTTTGTAATAAGTTATATTGTTCGTGACCTATAAATTAATTATAATTTTAATAATTGATAGATGAATATTAGTATTGAATTCCTCTGAATTTTTTTCGGCTTCCATATTCTTGTCATGTAGATCACGTTTGAAAGTGGGGGTGGGAATAGGTCAGATTGCCGGGCTCAAAATCTTGTCCAGAAAGAGCATATGTTTTTTTATAATCCACAGGAAGGGGATTTTTGTTGGACCCAACATAACATTCTTCGAATATTACTGTTCGGCCCGTACTTATTCCTTCAGTCCCTTGTCCTATTAGTCAATGGCCCAAAATGTCAATCCATTTTCCAGAACACATTTAATACTTCTTTAAGCCCACGCAAATTCCAAGATATTATAACCTACTCTGTCCAATTTTCTTTTTCAAAAAATTATTTTCTTCAGAAATTTGTTATTGATTTATCTAATTTATTAAAAATCAAAGACCACATTAATCAGTAAAATTCATCAGGGAAAAATAAAAAAAATTATGTTAATTACTTTTGTTTTAAAATTTGTGTGCGTGAGTTTGAAACATATATCAAAGGAGGAAACAGAGGGGAGTAGCAACCAGCAAGGAAGATATTACAAAAATTGTAATGCATGTCCTGTGAGAATAACACAACACTAATCAATTACCGCGTTGTGATAAATATAAAATAATTTATTGATATCGAATGTTCAATCAGAATTACCTTAATAACCAGTAAAATAGAAATCTTACGGTATTAACTATTAAGATGGCTACGGGCGTAGCTTCATTTCAACAGAAAAAAATAAAATAACCCATGCATAAGAAAAATCACAAATCACATGAACAGTATAATATAATTAGAGTCAGCTTCGAGTTGGAAAAAAATTATAGTCAGCTCCGTGCCTCTATGATATTCTTTTTTATTTTATATTCAACAACTTCTCCATATTTTTTAACTGTCTATACCTAAAACTGGGTAAATTAATACATCTCTCAGTAAAAAAAAATTTCGTTAATTACATATTTTATGCAGGGTAGGAGTAGGTTGAAAGTACATTGTAGAACACAATTACCTTGGCAATATACACACTCGTGAAACTTAGACACCAATTCATATGACATATATACTCAATAATTTACTTAAAACATTGTTTTACAGTTTTTTTTTTTTAATCTTAATATTGAGAGGACTTGCAAACACAATGGTCCTGTTTGGCACAAAACATTGAGAATGAGAGGTAAGGATCGAACTTGGGATTGGAAAAGCTACTAAAGAATGTTTATTGTAAGTAATTTCTTGTTACATAAGGATTAGATAATCCCATATAGGCAAGATTGGAAAACACCATATCTCCCATAGTATTTCTCAATTTCCCAATCCCATATATATGGATTTACCCAATTTAAAATAACAAGTAATCACTCATATTAAGCACTTTTTTAACATATTTTTTTAATTCCAATTCCAATCTTAATCTTTACCCTTATTTTCAATAGTCCGTATTAAACGAGATCATTACGTTTGATGAGCAATGTGACTCCCTGGCGTCTTTTGAAGGAATATTAGGTTTATCCTGTTCATCTCGGCCATATAAAGATTAATAACGGATCGAGTGTCAAATAAAACTATAAAAGATGCAAGGCTGAGATACTTTAATTTGTTGTTATTGTTGTTATTCTAACTGAAATTGAAAATAGATTAGCATACTTTTTATCCTTGGAATTGTGGTAAATTTCGGTCAAGGTGCCTGTATAATTTTTACCTCTGTGAGTCAATCCTCAGAATTGTGGTCAGCTTTGATCAAGGTTCTTGTAGATAACATGTCACTAACGTGGTAATAATTTATCATTACAATTAAAATGATGTTTGATATAACCGTAGGAGTTTTCGCCAAAAGTGACACAATTCTATGAATGATTCTTTAATGAAAATACCCACATGTTTCATAACATGTCACTAGCATGGTAATAATTTTAGAGATAATTATTATAAAGTCTCAAATAAAAAAACATAATTACTAAAAAGTTTTAATGACAACAAAGTAATAGAATAACTTTGAATAACAAGTTCCGGGGTAGCAAAAAAACATAAAAATATTATCTCAAGCAGCAGTAAGTTTGGGGCAGCTTTATATTATTCGTGTTAAAATAATTCGACAGATCTCATATCTACCTGAGGCCATATAAATAGGGGGAAAAATATATATTTGATAGCTCACATTTGCTCAACAGATTATGATAGCAAACTCAACAAGAATTTTGTTATTCCATTTAAAAAATAAAAGAAATAAAGGACTACCCCTTTACCGATGTTATATTCCCGAATCTATTTGATTCTTATTGCTAAAAATTCAAAAACAAGGAGATGAAGAAGAGATAAGCTGAGGTGATCGATGATTATATTATAATGTTTCGCTTTAGAGATTCTAGTTTATTTTGAAGGGCGCTTGTTTTACACTAAAGAATTAATAAAACGTCCAATACAGCTCTAATGTCATCCTTGTTGTTTTCGTTTTCTTGCTCCGACAATTATGTATCAATGGTCAATATAGAGTGGCATACTACTTACGGTATGCGGGTAACGCATTTCCACATACGTAAGTTATGTACTCCTCCGGTCCTTAATATAAGACCCATTTAACTAATTTGATTAGATTAAGGAAGTTAGGTAAGTTAGTTAATTATAAGAAATGTGGCACATTTTTCCTAAAATACCATAATCATCTTTCTTAATACCTCCTCTTCCTCTTCTACTTAATTATGATTGAGGGAGTATCTATAAGGGTAATTTAGAGAAAATTGATAAATATGAGAAATGGGTCTTATATTTAGGACCAAAACTAACTCAACAATTGGGTCTTATATTAAGGACCGGAGGAGTATTTTATTTTGATATGTGATCATCGTTTCTTAAATTTATCATTACTCTGCAATCCATAAGAAATATTAGATGAATAGATTGTCATAGTCTTAATTGTCGTGTTTCTCTTTTTTCTGTTGTCGATTTTTTGTTTAATTTTTACCAACAAGTGCATGGGTTTGGTTTCTATAATATTTGAAAATTTTTTAAGCTCCATCTCAAAGTTTTTGTCTAATTCCTCTTTCAACCAGAACCTCTTTTTTTAACATGATGTCTTTTCCGAGTCTTGGAACTAGGGACCTGAATTAGTTATATTGTTATCTAGTCTCGACAGAGTTCGGCAGATAAAGTGAACAAATATATAATCGTCTCATTGTAAAACCGATGAAGATTGCAACCTTTTATGCAGACACCCTTATCCGATCCGTATCATGTTGACCCTTTTTTAAATTTGGGTACATGTATAATTTTAACCCTAATTTTTTTGGAAGTGCCATTTTAGCCCAAAGGCTACTGGGGTAAAATTACAAAAAAAAAAATCATGAGTAAATCTGCACGTGACGAACAAGATCAGATTACAATTACACTACTGAAAAGATTAAAAGTGAGAGTATACATAAGAAATAAGATTAAAAATTAAAATTACATTTTTACCCCTTTTTAATATTTTTTTTAAAATTTTTGGTTGGAATGAAATTTCGCTTCCGTTAAGTGAAAAGAGATACTTACCAACTATGCACAGAAGGAGCAAGCACTGAAAAGGTGCCAATAAACGTGGGGAGCGGGGAGAGGGGCGAGGGAACTAATCAGGGAGCAGACGAGGAGCAGACGAGCCAAGATATGATTGGGCGTTCGTCAACATTTAGGCTTCTCCCTCCCTCCCTCCCTCCCTCTCTCTCTCTCTCTCTCACACACAAACAAAAGTGCACACATAGCTAGGAGCGAAAAGGGTATTCATAATTTTGGTGACATTCAATTTCCCAAATCATAGTCAATAATCAAGCACACATACACTACCGTTACCTACGTACGTACGCCACAGGGCGATGAGGCATTTACATTTAGGGGATCGTTGACGGGGAGGAGTCACGCACATATATACACAGAGAGATATATATATATGGGCTACGACCAATTAAACTACAGATGCTTTAAGTGGATCAGCTTCACTTCACATGTACGAACTGAGCCATTCCATGCAATTCAGGTAGTGATCTGTTGGGTACAGCAACACATCGTCGTCATCGTCGTAACCTTCGACTCCGAATTCCCCCAAAAATAGTGGGTCCCCCCCTGCTTCCATTGTCTGTGATGAGCTTGGGCTATTCGCAGCATCGTTCGACAGAACTGATCTCTCCCCCCTCTCTAACAGGCGTTGGATCTCCTTCTCTGCTTCCGAAAGCAGCCCCTTTAGCTTCGATACCTGCATGCCAAAGCCAGGATAAGATTTACAGAGGCAAGAGGCCAAGGGCGTATGCGTAACTTCATTCGCCAACAGCCAGACAACATGCAGAGCCAATTATCTGTTTTATTTATGATTACGATCCCATCTCTTTTGGATTTATGCGAGTGGATGACACATGTCAGCCGCCCACTGCCCCACAACTGGGCCGGAGGAAAGCCCAAACTGTGCCACGTTAACGTTGTACGGTTCCTCTCGATGATTGATGCCCACAGTGCATTTTGCTGCCTTGTAAGGTGGCAGCATGCTGTTCCTTATCAAATTATCCTCTTTTAAAAGAAAAAACATGTCCCCCCATCTTTTTGGGCCATTTTTAATGGCAAAGAACTGAACAGGACGACCAGGCTTTCTTCGAGCCCAGAGCTCATCCACGTTCCTTCTTTTTCTTTGGTTCAATTCTGCCCCTATCATCCGCTCTAATTCAAGTTGTGCGAGAGCCGCATCAATCATAATCCTCCGTCGAGATTTGAGGGGCTAACTAAGCACAATAAAATAAACATCCCCATAAGCGACGTCGACAAACAAAATAAATTGCCCTTCGTTACCTCTGATTGGATAAAGGCAAAACCAATGAAAAACTGAACGTCTTGCTTTTGGACTCTACAGATCGCACTATCTCTTTCTTCTTAGTAGTTTTTCTTTTTTCTTTTTTTTTTGCCTGAGTGCTTTAACTTGTGATTCTTTTTTAAGACAATACCTTAAACACCTGCCTCATATACTGATTAACTCAGAGTCCAGGGTATGCTAATGGAATCAAATTGACAATTATATGTAGTACCTCAGCTTCGAGGTGGCCCTTCTCGAGAAGGGTGGTTTCGTGGAGTTTCTTGAGGTCGGAGTAGGCTTCTTCCAGCTTCTGATTCTTCCACCGAGCCCTTCTGTTTTGAAACCACACGGCCACCTGACGAGGATCAAGACCAAGCTCCGATGCCAGCCTGTCCTTCCTCTCCGACTCTAATTTATGTTCGTTCCCAAAGTTTAGCTCCAGAAGATTCACTTGCTCCTCACTGAGCTTCCTCTTCTTCGTTCCCACGGCTTGGTTTTTCTCCTTCTTACGACGTCGTCTCCGCTTCGCTTCCCCTGTACCTATATAAGACGACAACAACCATGAAGAATACTGAAAATAATGCAAAGCGTTTATATACACAGGAAGAAGATCATGATAAGTAGTAACCTTGTTGAGGGATGATTTGAGAGTATGAACCAGGCGGGCATAGGTGAGAGAAGAGGGCCATATGAGCATCAGTAGGATGTTGATTCATCATAATGGTGTGGTGTGCCACCCTCGGGTCCTTACTTCCTTCCTTCTCCCTCTTCCTCTCCCCCTCTGAAGATGAGTGATATATGTTGTCATGGCAAGAAGGGTCTTCGACCTTATTTATAGCGAAAATGATGTGTCTCTTATCTGGGACTCAGTCTCTTTTCTTACCATTTGGCCCTCCTATTGTGTTGCAATTTTCGTACCGCTGCCATTATGTCGTTTTTCTTGATCACATGGTGCAGGTACAGGTGCGTGCACTAAGCAAGAAAAAAAAAATTACACAGTGTACGATCATTTTAAAATACATGATGTAGATAAGAGATATCAGCATTCAGCGGTAATAAGAACTTTTAATGTTGACCGCATGTAATATATATGTCACATATTCACAACTCAGAAATAAGTAGATTAAAAAGCTTTTTTCAAGAGCTTTTCTTTAATTTGTTTGAACTTTTTCCAAATATATTCTTCAAAGGTGGGCGTGTGTGTGTGTGAGAGAGAGAGATAAACTTATCTACACAGCAGTAATTAACCAAATTAACATCAAGCCATCATCAACTGTGGCCTTCTAACTGAGTTAGCCATATCAAACGAGCACAAGAACATGAGGATGCAACTGACACTGCAAATCACGAATAATCACAATTGCACAAGCAGCTATGAGGCAATTAAATATATGTTAAGAAAAATGCGTTACGTTGCAAGATAAAGGCACACAAAGTTAATGAGTCACATATATATATATATATATATGCAAGCTAAGTAGAGAATCATGCACAAGTCAATGGAGATTTATATATATATATATATAGTGGAAAGAAAGTCAATATTTTTCGAGAGATGGGCAAGATATTTGAAGGGAAAAATGGGTAAAGAAATGAAGTATTGGTGGGTGATGAACGAATGAAGTTTAATAGTAAAAGAAAAGGGAGAGGAGGTTGGGGATCCCAAAGCAGACGCCTGGAAGTGGGGTGAATAAAGAAAAAGGTAGGGTTAGGATTAGGGGAGTGAGAGTTATGAAGGGTGATGGGGAGCGATTGGATAGAGTAAGAGACAACGCAAAGTATAGAAAAGTACTCTTTCTGTCTTTAATATTAGACTCATTTAACTAATTTGATTAGATTAAAAAAGTTAAGTAAGTTAGTTAATTATCAAAAAAAGTAACACATTTTTCTTAAAACACCATAATCATCTTTCTTAATACTCCTCTCCTTTTTCTACTTGATAATGATTGACGGAGTATCCATAGGGGTAATTTAGAAAAAATTGATAATATAAAAAATGAGTCTTATATTTAGGACCAAAACCAACTCAAAAATTGAGTTTTATATTAAGGACCGGAGGAGTATTTCGTTTATGAGCCAAGAGAAGTATTGTTGTGTGCATATAAAGCCAAAGCACACTCGGGCTCACAGCTTAGCTGTGTGCGCATGCGTGGCTCGAGATGAGTGAGCGGTTGCTTCGCTTTGCACCTTCCTGCCTCTGCCCCATGGGTCCCTGGCCGTTGGAAACAAATTTAATTTCAAAACAAAATTAAACAATGAAATTTGTGACTATGAAATACCCTTCCGGTTCTTAATATAAGACCTATTTAACTAATTGGATTAGATTAAAGAGGTTAAGTAAATTAGTTAATTATAAGAAACATGACATGTTTTTCCTAAAACATCATAATCATCTTTCTTAATATCCTTCTTCCCTCACTTATTTGATTGTGGTTGACGGAGTATTCATAGGGGTAATTTAGAAAGAATTGATAAATATAAAGAATATGTCTTATATTTAAGATCAAAATTAACTTAATAATTTAGTCCTATATTAAGGATAAGAAGAGTATCTCTTATGCCCTGACATTACAAAAACTAAAGTGCAGACTATGATACTGCATATCTTAAATTTCACACATGTATCATGTTTCACAGTGGAAACTTTTGACTAACCATTTATGCAAAAATTTGATTATGTTTATAAAGTATAATAACGTTATGTAATTCATGCAATCAGTACGGCGTAATAGGATAAGACTTTTCATTGTTGTCACGTGACTTCAGTTCTTATATAAAAACTAGTTAACTAATTTAAACAGATTAAGAAAATTAGTTAATTGTTTTTTCTAAAATACCATAACGAATCATGTGTAGAAGAAACTTTTAACATGTATAGCTACTACAAAGGCTACAAACCTTAAGAAAAATTGATAAATATGAGAAACAGAGTGAATTGGAGGTCTTATATTTAAAACCAAATTAAATGTTAAATTAGCTCTTATACTAAGAATTAGATGTGGTATATATTTGATATTATTTGGTCAAATTCAAGCATTTTTTTGGCACTCAGGTTGTGTTATTTTAATTTAAGAAAATTCATAAAATTTAACATTTTAGATATAAATTTTATTTCATTGTGAAAATTTTCTATTTAATATTTTTTAGAAAAATAAGTTATCGCTTAAACAATTTAAAATGTAAAATTTAAAAGGTTCTGATTAATTACCTGATTCTGGTTTAAAAAAAAAAAAAAATTAAACTGAGTAGTTGGACTTGCTCATCTACACACACACAGAAACATGACCCTTGCGTCATTGTTGACATCTTCAAGTTGTGCTGCTTCAGGAATCTCCACTGGAACTGCCAGTCTCTGAGTTCTGACCTTCATTAACATTCTTATATATATATAAAACGTGATTGGGGATCCAAATGGAAGATAATATATAGAAAGTTACACGGATAAGGTGAACCACGGATGCCAATGATGATGAAACCAACTTGTTTAATTATAACTAGTTATCGCCTTGTTGGATTAAATAATCATGCCAATCATCATCTTTTTAAACCCTTTATTTCTCTTCTTCTTCCCAGCTCCAAGCGTATGTGCCATGTTAAATGCTAAGCACTGGAACTCTCTTTTTTTTTTTTTTTCTAAGGAAAAAGATTGTGTTACCTTTATCTGCTCAAGTTTAGTGTTGGAGGCTTACTGGTTGGGATTAATTTGTGATCGTTTGTTTTCGAAAATACCAATAACAAAATCTAAGAATGAGAATACTTGATTGACGGGAACTTGCAAGACTGCAGAAAGCGAACAAGTCTTTATTTCAATGAAATCGTGCTTACGAAAATGCCCCCCATCCACGGTCGTGGAAATGAGCTCCACGTCAAAACATGCATCCTTTTTTTTTTTTATGGTCAAACATAAGGCGCTGTTTGGCATCTGATGACAAAGGTTTGTCTCTCTTTATTCATCTGCAATCTCTTGTCTCTATCGTCCCCATGTCTGCTCTTTAATAATATCATTTTGTTTATCTACCAAAAAAAACAAGTCAAAAATTGTTTCCCTTTATTTTTTTTCTTTTACGCTGGGACAAAAAAATATTTTTCATCAATAATTATTATTTTATTTCATTCTCTTTTTGATTTTATTATAAGTATCAAGTGAGCCCGCATATAAAAGCAGCCGGGGCGGACAGATAATTTTCTTGCATGTTATATGCATGCCTCTTCTGGCTTATAAATTTGACAGCTTAAGTGAAATAGACGAGTGGTACGTTGAATATAATCATTTTTATTGTATTTCAGAAATAATCTAATTGATGTTCCTCTATATAAGATCTCAATCTATTTTATCTCCCAAGTTTATAATATGTTTTCAAAAATATCCTCTCTCTTTTTTTTGCTAAAGCATAGGTATTCTCCTATTGCAGGCAATCCTATTCGAAACACTATTTGATACTAAATATGGGTATCTCTCTTAGTAGGAACTTGAATTAATCTTGATTTGTGAGAGACTAACTCATTCTGCTATACTCAACTCTCGTTGGTTAAAAATATCTTTATTGATTGTAACATATTTCTACCCAGGTATAGATCCAATACACATAATTGAATGATCATAATTTAGGAAAATTAATACATATTTATTATAAATAATCAGCTTAATTGATTTTCTCAATCTTTTTAAACTAGTTATTTAGTTTTTATATTAAAAATATGAGGTAGTATATGTGAATGACTCGATGTTACAGTTATCAAACCCATAACTTCATCCTTATAAAAAAGATTAGGTTACAAGGTCACATAATGTAATCATATTTTTAATAAGCCAACACCTAAAGGCTAAAGCAGATTAATTGGGCATAATTGAGATGCGGAGTTTAACTTTATATATGTCTTCATACACCACTCTATTTCTATTTGTAAGAAACTTACATTCCAAGTTCGCAAACCAAAAAATATATTAAACAGATAATTTTTTTATATTTGTCCTTATTCAAGAGAGTGCATTAAAAATCTGTTTTAGATATTTTTTTTCATATTTATTTTATCTTTCTCTGTACTTATTAAGTGAATGAGGTTAAAATTTTAAAAAAAACTCATTAATTACCCTGTAAAAATTTTATATTTAGAAGCAAATTTTGTTCTCACAGATGACTCATAAATAAATAAGTTATATTGCCCTGTCTCCTAATCCTCGGGTACTTTTTTGGTTTTTACTTCTTTTTGGCTCCCTTCTGGCTTTTGCTTCTTCCTTCGTGTATATGTGTGTTTATGTTTTTTTTTTTTTTAAATGGTGAATAAATTCAGGGGCGATCAGTACTTTATGTCATATTTTAGGCAATGATCACACAAAACAAGCACCCTGCCCTTGTGGGCCTCTCGAGTCTTATGCCTTAGAGGCTTGTCGCTTTTGGCGGAATATTTACCGTTGGTAGGATCGGAAGATCCCACGGCTGGGAACTGCACAGCTATGGTGGCGGGGTCCTCTGAACTCGCAAAAACACAAAAGTGATGGGATGGGAAGGATAAGGAGGCACATGGGGGGGAAGGGAGACCTAAAGATGAGGGACGCGTGTCACCTTTCCACAAGTAGATATGGGGCCCTCGGATTCCTTCCTCTCGCCAACGTGTAGCCCTCCCATTCATCTGTACCCCTTCGGTTCCGGACCAATCACCACCCCTTACCTTGCCCTCTCCTTCTCCTCTCTCGTTCTTCTTCCCTCTGTCCACGTAAAATATCCCATCAA